GCACAGACGGTGTGGGTTCTGTCCTCAGGCACCTGAGCAGAGAGACAGGAAAACCCCCAAGTATGTTTCCAAGACATGATGGCAGTGGGGCCCCAGATCTATACCCTAAGCAGAGCCTCAGGAAGGAGACAAGGCCCCAGAAAGTAGAAATGACAGCAAAGTGCAGCCCATTTTGGAGTCAGCTTGAACCATGGACAGCGTCACACTTTCCTGTGCTACATACGCCAGGGCACAGGAGCAGCAGAATGATCCCTGTTTGTCCAAGAGGAACCTAGAGGTAGCAGAGAGATACAAGACCTAAGGAGGCCATGCAAGCGGGAACCAGGCAGTGGACATCTCAGCAGACACCAGGTGGTCACTTAATAACAGGAGCCACTTCCTCCAGTGCTTCCTCTAGTGCTTTGACTTTTTGAGACACCTTCCCAGAATGTAGGCAATCCCTGGAGAGAGGAGGGGAGATTCACCAATTCACTAAAATTAGGTGTCCACCACTCCAGTAGAATAGGGGCTGGCTCAAAATAGAAATGTGGTTATATTACAGAAAAACAATGTTATGTTGCCTGCATATCTGAGTTTGTAGAATAAGATAATACCTCTGTAAGAATTAAGGGCCTGAGAGAAGCTAGAAACTAACAAATTTCTGGCTAGGGAACTGGAGGATGGTGGCGCCATTCAAGGATGTGGGGAATGAAGGAAGGAGGGCAAACGGAGTAGAAAATGCTGAGTTTAAGGTTTGGACATACTGAGGTTGAGATGCTGATGGGACATCCAAGGGATGTCAGGAGGCAGGTGGCTAATTACAACTGGTGCTCAGGAACGAGGCCTACCTGAAAATAAAAATCTTGGCATCATCAGCCCATACAAGTAGTGGCTGACAGATGAGTAATGGATTGGGGTGGTAATCTTACGTAGTCACTGTGTGCCAGGCATTGTTTTTATGCATACTGACGCACTGAATCCTCAAATCAACCTATAAGGCAGGTACTACTATCCTCATTTTCCTTTTTTATTTTTTAGAGACAGAGTCTCGCTATGTTGCTTAGGCTGGACTCAAACTCCTGAGCTCAAGCAATCCTCCCACCTCAGCCTCCCAAGTAGCTAGGATACAAGTGCATGCCACCACACCTGGCCCCATTTTTTTTTAGCATATGAAGAGACAGATAAAAATGTTTCAGGTCTCCAAATGCTGGCGAGGATGTGGAGAGACAGGAACACTCTTACACTGCTGGTGGGACTGAAAATTAGTGCAACCTCTGTGGAAAAGAATTTGGAGATACCTCAAAGAGCTAAAAATAGAAATACCATTCAATCCAGCAATAGCACTATTATGCTTCTACCCAAAAGAGCAAAAAACATTCTATGATAAAGACATCTGCACCCGAATGTTTATGGCAGCACAATTCACTATTGGCAATGATGTGGAAACAACCCAAGTGCCCGTCAATTCATGAGTGGATTATTAAGATTTGGTATACATATACAACGGAATATTACTCAATCATAAGAAACGACAGTGACCTAGCACCTCTTATACTTTCCTGGATTAAACTTAAGCCCATTATCCAAAGTGAGATACCACGAGATCAGAAGAATGGGCTCCACTTGTACTCACCATCAAATTGGTACTAACTGATGAACACTTAGGGTGCTCCCATGGCAGTAATACTCTGCAGGGATTAGGGGGATGGGGCGGGGTAAACCGGCACCTAAAGGACACAGGGAGCATTGTAGGGGGGAAGGGCATGCCTGGCTTGGGTGAGGCAAAGACATAAAATGTAACCATAATGTTTGTACCCTCATAATACCCTGAAATAAAAAAAAAAGAAAAAGAAAATGAGCAAAGAATATAGTCATGACACAGAAGAGCATATCCAAACAGCCAATAAACATATTTAAAACAAAACAAAAAAATGTTTCAGGTCTCACAACTAGGAACCAGGGAAATCAGAAGTTATCCCTGTGAATCTACAACCTGCACATATAACAACCACTGTGCCATAAGCTGCCCTAGAAATAAAAAGGATGAAGGAATGGCAGAGGAAAAGGAGAATGAGGAGGAGCTGTCAGGAGGAAAACCAGCAAAGCTCCATGTCACAAAACCTGGAGGAGAAGAGAACTGCAAGCAGGAAATGGTTGGAGGTATCAAATTTGCAGATGGCCAAGTAATTGACTCTAACTCTCTAGCACAGCAGCTCTCAAAAGGTCATCCCATGCCGGCTGCTGCAGCATCACCCAGAACTTGTTAGAAATTCACATTCTCAGACCCAAGCCAGATCGACTGAATCAGAAAGCCTGGGGGGCTGGAGGGCTTTAACAGGCTCGCTAGGTGATAGTGATACACACTCAAGTTTGAAGAGCACTGCTCTCGATGACTATTTTATAACTCCTCCTTTCTGTTTCAACCTCACTCTTAGCTGACCTTGCTTCCTAATTCACCAAGAGGAAAAAGGAAAAGGCCATCAGGAGAGAATATCCACTAGCTTCCTCTGCCTCCCTGCATCTGTGCCCAAACAGCATGCCCTCTCTCTCGCCTTTACCTCGATGAACCATCCGTGCCCCTCGCCAAAGCTGGCCCTCCGCTGCTGCACTCGACCCCATCCCTTCCCACCAAATCCCTTCCGCATCATCAATTTGCACTCTCTCCCGGCTCTTGCCCATCAGCATATAACATATAGCTAGTTTTTCCACTTAAATAATTTTCTTGACCTCACTTCTTTTAGCTCCCACCCAATTTCTCTCCTTCCTTTACAACAAAACCCCAAAGAGTGGCCTACACTGTCTGCACCTCTCTGTTCTCATTCTTTCTTGAACATCCACAATCAGACTGTCACCCCCACCACTCTACCAAAACTGTTCTTGTCAAGGTCGCCAAGAACCTTCTAAATCAGTACTCAAACTCATCTTATTCAGCCTGTGGACAGCAATTGACACTATAGATCTTTCCCTCCACCTTGGTAAGTTTCCTTCTCTTGACTTCCAGCATACCACCGTCTCCTGTGGGGGTTCCTCACTACACTGGCCATACCTCAGTCTCTCTAATGGTTCCAACCGATCTCTAGAACCATTTAGTGGCAGAGAGCACCAGGATTCAGTCCTCGCACACCTTTGCTATCTACACTTGCTCCCTCAGTAATTCTTCTAATCTCACGGTTTTAAATAATATGCACATGCTACTCTCGATTTTATATTGCCAGCCCAGATCACACCAAACTTGCACATCCAACTACTTTCTTGACATCTCCTATAGACATCTCAAAGTTACGATGTATTAAACCAAGGCTCCTGATCTACCTCCCGTTTCCCGCCACCTCACCCAAAACCTGCTCCTTCCACAGCCTTCCTCTCCTCAGTTAAAGTTCAGGGAAAAAATTCCAACCTTGCCCTCACACTGCCTAATCTGTTGGCTCTATGTTCTAAATACACCCAGAATCCGACCACTTGGCATTGCTTCTCCTGCTCCCCCGCTAACCCCCGAGCCATCATCATCTCTCACCAGATGCTTGCAGTGACCTCTTACATAATCTCCTGCTTCTGCTCTGGCTCTCTTCGGATCTGTTCTCCATACAGTAGCTAAAGGGATTGGGATTCTGTTAAAACAAAAGTCAGATCCATGTCCCTCCTCTGTTCAAAATCTTCCAATGGGTTCCCGTCTGGGAGTGAAAGCCAAAGTCGTCAGAATGGCCTTGGGGCACTATAAGGTGGGTGCCTCCCTTATGTCTTTGACTTCATCTCCCACCCCCTCCCTATCTCTCCCTCTGTCTTCACTCCAGCCACACGGACCTTGTTCTTCCTCAAAAGTGGCAAGCAGCTCCCGCCTCAGGACCTTTGCATTTACTGCTCCCTCTGCCTAGAATATTACTTTCCCCAGATATGTACATGGCTTGCTCCTGGCCTCCTTCAGGTTACTCAGATGTCACCTTCCCTGACCACACCTGACATATTCCGTAGCCCCTCCCTGCGTGATGTACTTCACAGCTCTCAGTGCCATCTAACATACTATATATTCTACTTATTTGGTTATTGTCCCGCTTCCACTAGAATGTAAGCTCCTTGTTGTTCACTGCTATGGCTCCAGTTCCTAGCACAAGCGCCTGGCTTGTACAATACCTACTTGTAAAATGAAGTGATGGAATGAGGACCCTAAGGAAGCATAAAGGGTTGGGATCCAGAAGGGACTGGTCCTGGACAAGAAGGGGGACACCTCTTTCACTGCTCCTGGAGCAGAGGCAAGAATGGATTCAGTTATGTTTGTAGGTAGAAATTTAAGTGTCCCCCTCCTGACTGCCTCTAATTTCTCCAGGATATAGAAGAGAAGGAAAGCCTTGAGGAGAGGGGTGGTGGAGAGAGATACCTGTGGTGGAGAGTGGGAGGGACTAAGGACACCTGGTCCAGGTGAAGCTGAAAACCTGGATTTGTCTTGGCACCAATCCACTGGGTGTGTGGTTTTCTGCATCAGCATGGAGGGTAAGGTTATATACAAGGAAGGGGAGCTTTTTCTTGAAAGACCTGAGAGAATTGCTTCCACTGACTCCATGCCTCCGCTTACCCACGCAGGCGGTCATCACTAACCACTGGTCCCACGGAAGTAAAATGAGCAGAGTGCCTTTAAGAGTAAGAAAAAGGGAAAAGGAACAGGACCCGGCCCGTTGGGAAGGCGCGGGAACTTTAAGCCTTCCCGGAAAACAGAAAGTTGATATGCCCCGGGCTCGAGTTCCGAGCCTTCGCCCATGACTCCTCCTCTTTCTCAATACCTTCCAGCTGCCCCACCGTGTCACATTCCAGTCCACCTCTTTTGGCGCTCCACCCCCTAAGCTCGCGTGCTTTTCCTCCACGTGGTTCTCTGTGTACACAGGTTGCCAGGGACACCCGAGCCGGGCGGGGCTCTGATGACGCCACAATAGGAACAAGCCAATAGCCGTGACGTTTCTCAGTGACGCGAGACGCGGGCTGTGGCTCTGCCGGCCCGGGCGCAATGAGGCGGCTGCCCGCTGGGTGGCGCCGATTTCCCGGGGAGGTCCTTTCTGGGCCCCCGGCGGAGGTGGGGGAGAGGCCGGCAGGAGCCGAGGCCAGGGAGCCCTCTGCGTCAGCTGCTGCTCGCTGCGCCGCGCCAGTGCCAGCCGGGACTCACCCGCGGCTCCATGCTTGTGCCCGGTTCGACTCGTCCATCCTCCGAGAAGAGGCAGGTACGTGCCACCTGTCGGAGATCGGGGACGGGAGGATGCGGAGGTCACCGCCGGTTTGAGGCTCAGAAAGTAAGGTGTCAACGACACCCTGGGCAGAATGGGCACTAGAAATGTAGGGCGAGGGCCAGCAGTGCAGGGGAGCTCCAGCCGTGGGTGCCAGTTGTGTGAGGGCTGCCAGCTGACAGCCCAGGGTGCCAGAAAGAGCCATCTGTGTGCTGATCAGTGTGTTCTAAGGAAATGCTGCTTCGGCGGGTCCACGTCGCTGTGCCCTCTGTGGTATGTGGCCTGAGAGTGACGCCTGGACACTGACAAGCCCCTCCCCACGTGCGCGTGCAGCTCACTTACTCCCTGCTCTTAGAGCTCCCAGGGCTGTCTCTGGTCAGTTTGCCACAGGGGGCTGGGGGTTGGGGAGGACAGCAGTTAAGTGGAAGGGGAGATTTTCCACCAATCCCAAGCTAGAAAGAAGCATCTTTGCAATTCTCACCAATCCCAAGCCCTAAGTAGGCACGCGGTGCTCCAAGGCAAGCAACGTACTCTTCACAGCCAAAGGAAGCCCAGGCCAACCCATTCTAGCTCTCCCCTGAGGAGTGAACACCCCACCTCCCGACCTGGCTGCTTTTAAAATAGGGCTGAGCTGGAGACAGTGGTAGGGGCTGCTCACCTCCCCTGGCATGGGCATGAGAACATCCCCCAAATGCGCCTGGTAGAGTGGAGGAAAGGAGAGCTGGCTGGACTAGCGTTGGGGCATCCCCCACTCCTGTGATGCTGTAGATGCATGCCAGACTGCTGGAGTCGGAATGAGGACTGGAATGAGGGCGTTCTCTGAGGTGCATCATCAGGACCCAGGCTGAGTCAGTGGCCTGTGCTGAGACAGGGTGGAGGCACCAGCCTGGGGTACTCCCAGTCCTCAGGGAGAGCCATCGAGAAACAGGAGAAACATCCTGGGAGCGGACAAGTGCACCAAGGCCAGAGAGGCTAAGAACCCTATTCCTTCCTGTGACCCTGCCCAGCCCGCCTCTGAGGCCCTGGAATCCTGAGCTCTTGCACAGGTAGAGTGGAACCACCCAGAGGGGCCGGGCATTCTCCTGGTGGCCTGGGGAAACTGCGCTTGCCATATTTTCCTCGGCAAAGGGGGAAGCAACCCAAATAGGCTTGACCTTTCTCTGCTTGGTGGACTGGACATCTAGGAAGATGGCAGGCCTTATTTGCCCTTCCCAGCTATGGGACATGGCCCAGTTCAAAAACCACGGGGCTGTTCTCTGGCATTAGAAAGGAGCATTCCCTGACGGGGAGACTGGGGGCCCTTTTCTCCCTAGAGGGTTCACCTGGTGAGGTGCCACTACTCATACTACCACTAATTATAATAATAAGTGGAAGTATTCAATATCATCGTCATCACTTATTGAACTCTTACTATATGCCAGGAAATTTACAAATATTATTTTATTTAATCCTCACAACTGTGAGATATACCATTATTGTTATTATTTCTGTTTTACATTTTAAATAACTAAGGTTCAGAGAACTGAAGTGACTTACCCACTGTTTCAGAGCCAGTAAGGGAAAGAACTAGAATCCAAGGCCTTAGAAGTCCATTATAAGAGTATCGGACTGAAACCTGAGTGCTGGTGCCTGTCTGCCTCTCACTGTCTGTACAGCCTTGAACAAGCTGCTTTCTTTCTCGAGGCCTATCTGCTCCATCTCAGAATTAAAGGAGTTGGACTAGCAGTATGTCTTCTTCCTGTTCTCTAATTCTGCTACTGGCAGCTCCAGAGAATCTGCCTTCTCCATATTTTTGCCTCAAGGTCCACCCTCACCCCTCTACCATCTTTCCCATCTTCTGTTTCCCCTTAAATCCCCCTACTATTCCACTTCAAAATGCCCCTTTTCCAAGAGTCCTAATAGATCTCCTTGGCTAGCTTTGGCCCAAGAGGGCAGCTCCTCTAGGGTGGGCATGCCACTGCCCCTTTAATTCTCCCAGGGCTTGGAATGCGAGTGAGTTGCGCTAGCCATCTCTGCAAGTCTGCGAGGTCAGATAAGATACTATATATATCGAAGTCAGTAACCTGAGCTCCGGATTACCCAGCCCCAAGTCCGACTCCAGCTTCTGGGCTCTCCACTGCGTTCCCTGCCCTGCTGGGGAAGGAGAAGCCCCCAGGTACCATCCAGTGCTCCCGGACACAGGTCAGTAGCTGCCCCTTTGGCATCTGAGCTTCACTGAGCCCCTGTCTAGAGGACAGACGTCAGTGAGTTTGGGGGAGCATGTGAAGCCACGGCAAGGGGCCTGGTGGGTGCCGTGAGCAAGATCAAAGGCTCCTCCAGAGGAGGACAGAGGGAAAATGAAGCCCTAGAGGAGAGGGAGGGACACTGGGACTCTCTCCTGAGGAGGGGGCACCAAGAAAGTGCCTGGGCAGAGGTGGTTGGAAGAGAGAATTTAAGTACGCTAATACTCCCTGAAGGCCCATTTCTTTGCCTTTTCTTAGAAGTGTAGAGATGTCCAGCCACCCCCTCCCAACCCCATATCAAGAAGCACCCTATAGAGACACTGCCCTGGGCCTACCCGCTTCTTCTCCACCAGTCAAGATTCTTGCTTTAATCGCCAATCTCTTTATCTTACCTCCTCCCCACCCCACCCCCAGCCCTTGGGCAACTACTGGGAGCAAGAAAGAGAGAAATGGACCCAAATTCCCTCGGATGACCCCCTGCCGAGGCAGGCAAGAGGTTTAGGCACTAAGCTGGTGGGTTACTGGGCACTAGCCCCTGATACATAGAGCTGCTGGTGACAGGCTGGAGGGGAGGGGGCCAGCTGAGGCTCCTGGGGCCTGAGAGGAGGAGACAGAGTTCCCAGACTGTTCAGGCATAAATATGTCCCACCCCAATCCTCTATCCATATCCTCCACACCTGCCAGGACATCCCTCATCCCATCCTCCAGAATTGGATGCTTGTGCCCAGACAGTGTGGCAGGCGACTCAAGCAGCCAGGAGTAAGGGGCAGAGAGTGCAGATGGAGGGAGATAGGATCCCTTGGTCACCCCACTACCCTTCAGGGTCAGCACATTCTGATGCTGTTAGCAAGTGGCTTTGGGAAGCTCTGAGGTCACCACTGTGGAGGTTCCCAAGCACCTGGAGGAACTGGCTGGGACTTCCCACTCACCTGTCCTGGCACCTGGGCAGGAGGGAAGGGATTGAACCCTGTTTAGGTGTTGCTCTGAAACTTGACTAAGGTCTCTATCCAAGGCCACAGAAGCAAGGCATGCTTTCACCCCAGAAAGCCAAGTGAGTCTGGGAAAAGAGGAGCCATGAAGGTTGCTGGGATATAGGACATCACCCATTGCCTGCCCCCAGGGCCAGGAGTGCCTGGGATTCCTGGGGAGCAAGTCCCTCCCCTGGCTGGGCAGGTTAGGGAGCCCTTCACGTGAGCAACAGGAAATGACAGTGGCTGACGAAAGGGGGTTCATTTTAACACCTGGCTCACCTAGCCTGGGTACCTGGGGGAGTGGGCTGAGCTGCAGCCAGGGTAGGAGGCTAGGGGACATGTTCTGAACCAGGCCTGGGGCCGAGGGCCCGGAGCTGGGGTGGATGCTGGTGACGGGGGACATGCAGGAGCTTGGCACAGCAGGTGAAATGGAGGCCTCCTGGACCATCTCATGACTGATCAATATTGTTCTGGGGCTCAGGTTGCGCCTGGCTTCACTTTCATTCACCTGCAGTGGAAAATCCAGAGAGCTGCTCCTCCGGGAGTCTGTACCCTCCATGCTGTTGCTGGACTGTGGACACCTGGATTCTGTCTCTGTCCTTCCCTCCAGCCCCAGCTTGCAGGTCCCCAACCCTGTCCCAGCCCTTGGAGAGTCCAGGGAAGTGTGAAGCAGGGGGTTTGGCTTCAGGCTGGCTGTAGGGGACAGAGCACAGGTCCCAACCCACCTCTGCCACTGCTCCCAGAGTGACTTTGGGAAATCCCCAGCACTCCTAGGATCCCCAGTTTCCTCCTCTGCTAATGGGCATCATAATAGCACCTACTGCTTAGAGTGGCTGGGAAGATTAGGTCAGTTAATACACTGCGTCCCAAGGCTCACTGCAGTTTGAAGCTTTAATAACTTCAGAAATACGAATACTAAAAACCTCCTTTAAAAGTGTCACTATTTAAGCCAGGCCTGACGGCACACGCCTATAATCTCGGCTACTCAGGAGGCTGAGGCAGGAGGATTGCTTGAGCCCAGGAGTTCAAGACCAGCCTAGGCAACATAGTGAGACCCCATCTCAAGAAAAAAGAAAATGTTTCACTATTTAAATTTCTTGTATGTTTTTTTGAATTGTGAATAAGTTTTTTAAACTTTAAATAATTCAATCCTTCCAATGATGTTTGTAAGCTTGAGGCATTTATATGTCTGAAAGAACTCAAGCCAAAACCTGTGCTAAGACTTTTGGGACACTCTGTGCATGAAGCCCACTGAGAACGCCAGACACATGGCAAGGCCGTGTGAGCGCTGGTCTGAGGCTGCTGAGAAGATGCAGTCAGAAGCTGCATGTGACGTTCTCAGCTCGCTTGGTGCCTGGTCCAGAGGTGCTCAGCACCAGCTGGCTGGGGTGACAGCCTCTTGGCTCAGATGTCCTGACAGGAAGCTGAGTGCCTCTGAGTGGAGGATTGCCGCTGCAACTCCCAAGACGGGGAAACTGAGCAAAGCGATGGGGAATTTCTGCCATAGAAGGGAAGAGTTGGGGCACTGCAGTGAAGATGGCATAGAGGAGGAGCTTGGCAGGGGACTGACCCTGTTGTCCAAGGTGGCAGGCACCTGGGAAGGTGCTGCCTGGAGCCGCGTGCCTGTACTTGCCAGCTCTGGGTAAACAGTGAAAGGAGCCGGGCAGCAGGGGCCCCACACTGGGCAGGGAGGGTACGGGGGATCCCAGCCAATCGGCTCGCCTCCCACTGCCCCATGAAAGGGCCATTCAGTTCAGGCCGTTCCTGTGGCAACAGGGAGACTCGCAGCCACGTGAGTGCCCGTCCTGTCCCTGTCTTGCGCAGGGAGGCTACAGCCCGGGCCCCAGCCCACTCTCCCACCCAGGGTGCATTCTGCAGCCTCCAGGGACAGCTGTGCCAGGTAATGCCAAGGGTCACCAACCCAGGCTATCTTCTCACTTGAAAGATGCTGGGATCTTCGAGAGTGAAACTGGGGGTTGGGGGAGGAGAGAGACATGTGAGAGGCCTCAGCCCCAATAGGGACCCTATCCGCAGACATGGGAACTATAAGCCAGATGTCAGAGCTTCCAGGGGGTGTTAGTGAGGGCATGACTCCCAGGGCTGCTGGGGGCGGAGGGAGATCTGGCAGTGCCAGATTGGAGCAGACAGGAGAGTGGGGATCTGGGAGCCCTCTTGGGATTCTGTGGGCCAGAGGTGTGGCTGCACCTCCACCCCCAAGCCGTCCAGGACTGTCTATCCATGTCTGCTGTACCTTGTTTGGCCCCAGCACTTCTGCGTCATCAACAGGGCCAGGGGAGGTCACAGGCTTGGGGCACTGCGGGCAGAATACCAATTCCCTGGGAGCCTTAGTGTGGGGGAGGGGGAGGGACTGCCATAAGGAGGAGCCATGAGCTCATACCCTGGGGGGGGTCGTATCTGATTGGCTGCTGGGTGTCCCAGAGCCCAGCTCCTAAGACCTGGAGTCTCTTTGACTTTGCATTATTGATGCAGTTCTCCAAAGCGAAATAGAGCAAGACCCAGCTCCCCCACCCCCACCTGTGCCTCTGTCTGTCTCTCCCCCTGTGCTTTCCCTCTAACCCTGTATGAAGTTGTCCCCCAGTTATCTTTTCTTAGGAAGCAGTGAAAGTTGTGAGGTGGGAGCCCAGTGGGCAAAGCAGTATACATGAAAGGTAGGGTGTCCCCTGTACCAGTGTGGGGTCCAGTAAGCTGGACCAGGCCTTTCTGATGCCAACCTGGGCTAAGAATTGCTGGAGGTCTCTGGTAGGATCTAGGAGTGCTGTTCTGGGGCCTGTATGGAAGTTGCCACCTGCTCATCTCCCACCCCTGCACCTATTCCAAGCCTGGCATTGACTGGGATTCTAGAGCTTTTTCCCAAGTCCTCAGTATTTGGGGCTTGACACCAGCTTCTCTTTGCCCTGATGGGCTGGGCTGTTAGCCTAGGGCAGGCTGTGGGCTGCCCAAGCCAGTGTCTGTCTGCCCAATAGCTAGATGTCTGCCCACTTATCTCGATGGGGGCTGCAGGGGGAAGCCTGGCACTCCGGCTGAGGTCAGAGGCCTGCCAAGCGGGAGACAGACAGCCCTGACATTATTATAGACCAACAAAGGGAGGAGCCCAGCTGCTGGGCAGGGGCCGGGGGAGGAGATAATAACCACTGTCATTGTAGAGCCCTTTCACGTGTTATTATCTCATTTACTCCTCACAACAAGCCCACGAGGCAGGAATCACATGATTGTTATACTCATTTACAGGTGAGGAAGTTGGGGCTCAGAAAGGTTAAACGATTAGTGTAAAAGTGCCCAGCTAGTCCGTCACAGGTGAATCACACTGCTCAGAGAGTCCTGGATGGCTCTGCCTCCATCCCCTAGGAAGCCCCCCAAAATCCCCTGATGCCTTCGAGGAAAGGGGCCTGACCCTACTCACTCCTCTCTCCAAATGACCTTTGCCATTCCAGCTCCACTGGATAAAGTCTGCACGTTTAGGGTGACAGAGGGACATGTGATGGGGGATAGTGCGTCAAGGTTAAGTGGAAAGAGCATCAGGCAGGATTCTGAAAGACCTGGATCCCAACCCCGGCTCTCTTAGTGTGTGACCATGTGCAAATCAGCGCCACTACAACAGAGAGGTTACAATGCATGATTCTCTAGGGCCCTCCAAAGTGCCACATCCAGCAAGCTCTGTGTTCCATCACCAGACCCGAGCCAGCTGCAAGAACTTGGAATGCCACCTGCAGTGCAGGATTTTGGACTCTAGGGGGCCCCCTTTACACAGTGACATATTGCCGAGAACAAATTTGGGATCCCTGTTGGGAGGGGGACCCCTGGGAAGCCACAGGACCCTAACTCCACTTACAGCAGAAGGATTAGCTCGGTGAAGAGGAAGGGTTCTACCATGCGAGCGTCCCCCGTACCCCCAGACCATGTAGCCGGTGCCTGTGTCCAGGGAAGAGCCTTGGGATAGAGTCTGGAGATCGAGTTCCAGCCCCCTCTCTGCCACACTCACTGCTCCCCTGCTCATCAACCTTCCCATTACTTCTTCCTATGAGCCTCCTCTTCTTGACAAAGGCTCTGACCAAATGATCTTCAGGCCACTCCAGGCAGACAGTCTGTGATTCCCAAAAGACTCCTGCTCATCACATTAGTCGGAAGAGAGGGAAGTGATCTTACAGAAACGTCCAGCGGTCTCAGTTCCGGGGCTGGGGGCGTCCGCATCCCCCAACTCAAGGGTTTCTGCATATGCTGAGGAGAGGACCCAGATGGGATTTGGGCTGGAAGACAGTGCATGGCTTGGGGGCGGCAGAGGTCAGGCAGCCCCTGCTTGCATGTTTGGGTCTTTGAGAGGAGTACTCGGAGTAGCCAGGATGTGCTGAGACTGATCTCTCTGGGTGGCTCATAAAAGCCAGGTCATCTCTTGTACTCTCACTGAGGTACGAAGCACAGGCGCGTACAAGCCCGTGTGCATACCTGCATACGTGTGTGTGTTTCTCAGTGGCCACCCAGCATCTTGTGAAAACGGACCGGGTGGCCCCTGGTAAGCTGTGAGGTTCCGGCCCAGCTGGGATGGGGAACGGGCATGTGGGAGCCTGACACCTGGCAAAGCCCTTTGACAACTGCTTTCCTTATCTTTCAGCCCATGAGGCTCCCAGTCCCCACTGAGTGCCGCCCTGAAGGATGTCCCAGCTCTCCTCCACCCTGAAGCGCTACACGGAATCAGCCCGCTACACAGATGCCCCTTACGCCAAATCGGGCTATGGCACCTACACCCCCTCCTATGGGGCCAACCTGGCCACCTCCTTCCTGGAGAAGGAGAAGCTTGGTTTCAAGCCAGCCCCCCCCACCAACTTCCTCACCCGTCCCCGCACCTATGGCCCCTCCTCCATCCTGGACTATGAACGGGGCCGCCCTCTGCTCAGACCCGACATCATGGTGGGTGGTAAGAGGGCAGAGAGCCAGACCCGGAGCACTGAGCGGCCTTCAGGCAGTGGCCTCAGTGGGGGCAGTGGATTCCCTTATAGCATGACCAACAACTGCCTCAGCTACCTGCCCACGAGTGCCCGGGACCAGGGGGTGACCCTGACCCAGAAGAAGTCGGACAGCCAATCAGATCTGGCCCGGGATTTCTCCAGCCTCCGGACCTCAGACAGCTACCGGGTAGACCCCGGGAACCTGGGCCGCAGCCCCATGCTGGCACGCACACGCAAAGACCTCTGCACCCTGCAGGGGCTCTACCAGGCAGCCAACCGCCCTGAGTACCTGGCCGACTACCTGGAGAACTATGGTCGCAAGGGCAGTACACCTCAGGTGCCCACCCAGGCTGCTCCCTCACGAGTCCCTGAAGTCCTCAGCCCCACCTACCGACCCACTGGCCGCTACACACTGTGGGAGAAGGGCAAGGGCCAGGCCCCTGGGCCCAGCCGCTCCAGCTCCCCAGGGCGAGACACCATGGTGAGTTTACCCTTGGGGACTGGCGATGGGCTGGGGAGGCAGCCACTGGTGTCAGAGAGCCAGGCTGAGGGCAGGATTCCCAGCCTGACTGATGATGGATGGCAGCAGCGGCTGCTCCTGCAGGCCTGGCGGAAACAGGCGAGAGAAGCCATGTCTGGCATGTCTGGTGCCCTTGTGGCTCCATGCCAAGGGGAGGGGCTTTCCCGCTGTCCCCAGGAAGCCCACCCAGGACCTGTGCACTCGGTGGTCCAGCAGTGCTCTCAGGAATGCTCGGCTACCCCCACATATGCTGCCGCCCTCTCCTTTTCCACCCAACAAGCCAGGGTCTCCTGCAGGCCCTGCCCCATCCTGGGCTGGATGCTGGGGCCCCGGACCACTGGTGCTCCCTGTGACAAGAGGGGCCTCTTTGCTCTCATTGCATCTCTTCTCCTGCTCAGGCTTTATTCCCCAGCTCCAAGGCCTGGCTTTGCATTTGAGCGTAAGAGATCAGGGGAAGAGGGAATCTCCTCTGATTGACACTGGTGTGCTGAGGACCAGGGTGTTTGAGCGGCAGTACTTATCATGTGTCTTTGGAGAAAATAGTGGAGACATGTTTATCTAGGGGTTGAGACAATCCATTACCTCTGTATTCCAGCCCAGCTGTGGCTGGAATGAGGAAAGAGGCTCTGCTGGAAACTGACCGATACTGGCATAGCCTTAGCTCGCATCTAATCCCTGAACACACCTCTCCTGGGGAACTAACTACATTCTGCCTTTCCTGTAGTCATGAGAGTGACTATGAGGTGGAAAGCGCTCAGAGGATGAGAAAGAAATCCTATCTCTAGATCCTGCATCATGTGTCTTGCACAGCATGGCGTTCAGCTGACCTGCAGTTTGTCTGGATGGATAGATGGGTGTGTGGATGGATAGATGGGTGGGTGGATGGATGGACAGGTAAGCAGGCAGGAGGGTTGGGTGCTACATCTCCTCCATTACCTTATGTACCTCTCCCTGCTTCTGGGGACACGTGCCTTTTGGAATCAACAGCTGTGCCACAGCAAAAAAATGCTGCTTAGAGACCTTATGCAGAGAAGTGGAGGGTTCAGGACTAGGAGCAGGGCATTGAGTCATAGACCTTGAAGCTTGTCATAACTAAAGGTCTTGGGAGGAGGGCAACTTTGATAACACAGAGTCTCAGCCTTGCTGGGCTATCCGTGAAGTGCCATGGGAGATAAAAAAAAAAAGCTGGTTCCTCCCAGAACATTCAGGTCCCGACAAGACAGGGTTGGCTGCACTGGACAGCTAGTGTACAAAGGAGTGGGAGAATAGACATGTGTCACAAGAGAGCTGGCCAGGGACAGAAATATGTGTTTTCAAGGGGCTGCGTGCCATGCTTGGGGTGCAGTACAATTCACTTGGTGTTGTTCATCCTGGGGGCAATTAGAAAGCCGCTCTCCATGGAGGGCTTGGGTCCTAGAAGCCTCTGGGGGGCTCCCTCCTTTTGCTGAGAAGAAAAGGGCTCTTTCCGACAAGCTGTGCTCCTCAAGGTGGGGTCTGTAGACTGCCTGTACCAGAACCACCTGCAGGGCTGAACGATTCACTCAGAACTGCGGAATCAAACTCTCTCAGGACAGTGCTTGGGAATCTGTCTTTTTCACAAGCTCTTCGGGTGATCTTTAAGCATGCTGAGGTTTGAAAACCACCTCGCCACACAGTAAACTACAGACCCACCCTCAACCCCAATCGTAACAGCAGGGTCCCTCTTTACTCGAGTCAGATTCCACTGGGAGCCTGCCTCCTTCCCAACAGGCACAGCCCAACCCTCCCTGGAGTCTGCTGCTGTCCACCCTTCCAAAGGGGACACCCCAGCCCCACCCCCACCTCCAGGGCCAGGGCCAGGGGACATTTGAGAGAGGACCTCAGAGAACTGGCAGATTGCTGCTCTCATCCTGAAGCAACTCACCATACACTTAAGTAGCCAGGAATGCCCTGCACTCAAGCTAGTGTTTCATTCTGAGCTCACTCACAAGCAGATAGTGCCAACCAGAAAAGGCCTCTCGGGGGTCAATGGCATCAGACCTTTATTTAACCTTACCCCTGTCTCCTTAGCCCTCTCACCCTTACTTCCCAGAGCTCACTGCATCTTTTGCCCGGGCTAGAGTGCCGTGGCATCAGCCTAGCTCACAGCAACCTCAAACACCTGGGCTCAAGCGATCCTCTTGCCTCAGCCTCCCGAGTAGCTGGGACTACAGGCATGCGCCACCATGCCCGGCTAATTTTTTCTGTATATTTTTAGTTGTCCAATTAATTTCTTTCTATTTTTAGTAGAGACGGGGTCTCGCTCTTGCTCAGGCTGGTTTCGAACTCCTGAGCTCAAACAATCTGCCCGCCTCGGCCTCCCAGAGTGCTAGGATTACAGGCGTGAGCCACCGTGCCTGGCCGCTCCTTAACTTCTGAACCTGTTTCCCCCTCTGTAAAATGAGTGAGCATAGTTCCCTCTTCACAGATTCCTCTGAGGAATCGGAAGGGAATTGCGTGGCAGTGCCCGGCAAGTTGCAGGTGCACTCACAATTCACTTGGGGAAAATAAGTTCTTAAATAGTTGCAATAGGAAACAGCCCTGCGTGCTTTTAAGTGTCACAGGCAGTGGGAAAGGGAGGAGGTCATCTGAGGCTAGGTCGGGCTGCTCATGACCAGTGGAGCACAGTTGGCTTCTTTAACCTTGGCCACCTACCAGCTGGGCTGTAGTTCCTTGTCTATAAAAGGGAACGATCGCACCTGCCCTGCCCACCTCACGAGGATGCCATGAGGCTCAAAGCAAATCATGAATGTGGAGGAGTCTGAAACCAGTAAAATGCTACAGATGAGGTCATTCGAACTTAAGTGGGGGCACTTTGGACTTTGGGAGGCCTGGGTGGGAGGATTGCTCTGAGGTCAGGAGTTCAAGACCAGCCTGAGCAAGAGCAAGACCTCCATCTCTACAAAAAACAGAAAAATTAGCCAGGCATGGTGGTATGCGCCTATAGTCCCAGCTACTTGGGAAGCTGAGGCAGGAGGATCACTTGAGCCCAGGAGTTTGAGGTTGTAGTGAGCTATGATGACACCACTGCACTCTAGCCCAGGTGACAGTGAAACTCTGTGTCGGAAAAAAAAAAAAAAAAACTTAAGGGAGGGAAAATTCATAGAAAGGGGGCACGTGGCAGCTGATTAGAGTGGGGAGGAGCCCCTGTGGGAGGAACAGAGGTGAGAAAGTGCATCCTGTGGCCCAGGGTACTCTCAGGGCAGCTGACTTGAGCCACAGGAGGGAGGCATCATTCATAAAGGGAAATCAAAAGCAGGCCCTGACCAGGGTGAAGAACAGTTCTAACCGGTCTCATTTCCCTCATTAACAGTAACAGCCAACATGAACTTGGAATATCACAGACTCAGCTGAGCATGAGGGAAGAACTGGCAGGGTCGGGGAGGGGCCACATGAATCCTGAATAACCCCATCCCATGCTTGTGTAAGCACCAACAAAACGCCCGCCATGGGAGTGCAACTCGGATAATGAGGGCTGCCCCAAGGCTCCAGCTTCTGCTTAAAATGCAGACAGTCTAGGCCGGGGTGCGGGGTGCGGTGGCTCAGGCCTGTAATCCTAGCACTCTGGGAGGCCGAGGCGGGAGGATTGCTTGAGCTCAGGAGTTCGAGACCAGCCTGAGCAAGAGCGAGACCCCCGTCTCTACTAAAAATAGAAAGAAATTGGCTAAACAACTAAAAATAGAAAAAATTAGCCAGGCATGGTGGCGCATGCCTGTAGTCCCAGCTATCCGGGACGCTGAGGCAGGAGGATCACTTGAGCCCAGGAGTTTGAGGTTGCCGTGAGCAAGGCTGATGCCACGGCACTCTAGCCCAGGCAAGAGAGTGAGGCTCTGTCTCAAAAAAAAAAAAAAATGGAGACAGTCTGAGAGAAGGGACCGTGATGGTGGGAGAAAAGGCTTTCACTACCCCCAGAGGGGACTCCAAGCCAGCCCAGGTGGCTCAGCCCTGCAGAAAGCCAGGAGCCTGAGTACCCAACCCTGTTATCTCCCCTTCTGCCCCCTCCACGCCCCACCCCTCCTTTTCCAGGGCCTATGGAAGGACAAGCTGTTCCCACTGAGCCCTGCCAGGGCTGTGCTTTAACCCCTGCAATCCTTCCTAATCCTCCTCCGCTCCACCCCTCCAGCTGCTCCCTCCCCAGCCCTGGCATTCTGCCTACTGGCCTCAGCCCAGCCCTCACTCCGCCCTGCCCAGGCCACCCTCTCCTCTCCCCAGGAACAGCCAGAGTTGGCCCAGAGCCCTCCAGATCACAGTTGGCAGGCTGGGCACCTGCACTTCAGAGGGAGAGCCAGGGACCCGGGCCCAGAGTCTAGCCCAGCCTATTCTTCCCCTCCCGGCTCTTCCATACCCTTGCCCTCTGCTCTAGTACCTGCTTCTAGGAGCAAAGAGTCTGGGAACCTGAGTATCTGGGTCCTACTTGCCACCGGGGCTGCTGACTCATCTTCTGAAGCCTTGGGTTCCAGCTGTTCAGTGACAGGGAGATTATATAAGCCGAGGTCATGTGATTTTTCTCTCGGGTGGGACTTTGGACTTGAATGCTGCCCTGCAGTGAGCAGAGATTACTCTAAAGAGAACAAGTTGAGGATGGCAGGGGCTGCCCTAGAGCTCCTGGGTGAGAAGCGTGACCTTCCTCTCTTGTCCCTTGCCTTCTCACTCTGTTTACTCAGCCACGCTGGACTGCATCCCTGCTGTCTTGTTTGTCCAGCTTGGCAGCCTGAGACCCTGGGGCCTGTCCTCACCCACTCAGCCACCCTGAGGAGGCTGAACTTCCTGAGGGCTTGAATCTGTGTTGACAGCATAAGAAGGTCACTCAGAGACCTTAAGCCAGAGGGTTCCCATGGCCAGGAGCAGTATTAGCCGCTAAGAAGGAAGAGGCAGTTTGTGGTTTGTGATTAGAATCAGCAAGACACTGATGTCTCCCTCCCTTGAAGACCGGCTGAGAGCTG